CTTAAATGGTTTGAAGTATTTTTCATCTGGGTGCAGTTTGTTTCAGCTCCCGCATGTTTTGTCTAGTTCAGACACAGAAGTGCACTGGAGTAGCATGAGAAGTAGGGCTGCAGCCTCCTGTGCCCTCACTACTGACTTTAGGGTGGGCTGCTCCTCAACCTGCTCTGTCCATGTTTCACCAACCAGGGGACACAGATGAATAAAAGTCTTGCAGCATATGCTTAGAGATGCTGGAAATGGGCATTTAAAACAGTACATATAGGATGATTTTCCTACTGTTTTGGTAAACCTAGAGAAAACCAAGGCACACCTGTAAAGGCAAGTCAGTACCACCCTGCTAACCATAGAGGTAATGGTAGTTCCTGGGCAGGAAAGGGAGATGTTTGCCAGTTTTAAGTAACCATTGGGCAGCCAGGACATATTTGGAAAAACATCCAAATCTCACCAGCTATCACTCTGTGCATCCTGATCAGTATTTAGCTTATTTCTGCAGCCACTCCGCTTCTCCCATTGCACAGGTGAGGAGCTGAGGGGCAGAGTAAATCAAAATAGTGAGATAGTGCAAAGATACTGCAATAAAGCTGATCCTAAGCACATTTGGTGAAAAGAGGATATTCAGAACAAAACAGGACCCTAGAGCAGGTACGGGATAACCAATGGGTGTGACAGAATGAGCTGGGAAAAGCACTACCCATCCCAAAGTGATTAGGAGCAGCCAGTTCTGCTCGTGCTCTTCTCAGCAAGGGCACATAAGGACACAGCACATAGCTAAATATGATCAAGGTGTTGTTTTAATGTGGGTCAGATGCAGTTAGGTTTGTTGAGTGAACATTAAGCCTGGGGTCTTGATTGTTCACATTATCCCCTCTTCCCCCTCCTTCTAATACGGTCTTCTGATTTCGGGGGAGAACATGGCAGGTACTGTTCTAGGGATGCTGTTGGAGACTGAGATAAGCAATTATTCAGATGTGTTCACATTAGACATGTTTAATGTTGACTTTTGCCGACTTAGCAAGATGAGCAGCTGTTCTTTGGGTGGGAGCTCAGCAAATTAAATTGCCTGGCATGCCTGCGGCCAGCATAAGCAGAGACATTGGAGAGAGGCATGATCTAACAGCTGAGCTTCCACACACACTTCACCTGGAACAGATCATGTTATATCAACAAATCTCTCCATGTTGACACACAAACACATGCACCTTGGTGATGCTCTGCCTTCACACATCTGCATCTGCCTATTTTTCCATGCAAGGCTCGTGGGTAGGACTGGTCTTCCTCATTTTTATTGTACCAGTTAAATAAACCCTGTAGGGAGTGTTGAAGCTAAAGAAAATGTTGGCACCTTCTAGCTCAAGAGCAGGAGTTTTCCAGATTCCAGACTGAATCTGAGGGAGCAAGATCAGAGCTGCATTTGGTCATATCATAAGTGCCATGGCTGCATGTATTCATAAACGAAAGATTTCCAGTTCTCTGTTCTTCTAGATAGAAAAATGGGATACCAGACACCCACCTAACACAGAGGCACTTGGATTAAATGTCCAACTAGAAGTGTCTGAACCAGGAACAGAATCTACCCAAAGCATTAACAAACTGTAGAATTTAGTAGCATTCAAAGCCATTTGAATTGAAGGCAATTTGATCAAGCAATTGCCGAGAGTCCCAAAGGGTTACACAGGCATAGACATAGATAAACGTCCAGAGGTAAAATTAATTATGGTGTAAATTCAGGGAATTACATTAAATATTTTCTTTCAGGTCTTAATCTAATCAATTTCCTCTGAAACATCTGGATAGGACCTGATGGTCCTCAGTTATGACACTATTTGGGAGGTTCCTGAAAGGGCTTTTCTGGGGTTCCTGTCACTGCTGATCTCCCCATTGCCATTAGCTGTGTGGGCCATGGCCCAGCAGAGCATTTCAGAACTTCAAAAACTGATATTGTTCAGATTTGGGATGAAAATTTTAAATATACCTGAATCCTCTGCCAAGGGGCCTCAGTGCTGGGGATGCCCAAGTCTTTCTGGGGGGCTTCTGTGAAACATGCTTTGAAGAAGTCATCTGGTCAGATAGACAGGTCACCAGGTCCTGATACCTGAAATAGCTCTGTTGAATGGCAATGCAGAGAGATTACAGTTGAAGTAACAAGAAACCTTGTTTGGTATGTCCACGTACATTTTCCCAGAATGACTAGTGCATAGTGGGATGAACGTCAGGGCAGTAAGCACCTCATGCAATTGTGTTGCCTTGCAGGTACACCCTGTTCTTACCTGGATTATTGGCAATTTTCAGATAAGAAATTCAGTTTGGGAACGGGAAACTGGTTATCTCATAAGAGGCAGAAATTGTGAGCATTTTTTCCCGGGTGCAAGCCAAGATAACGCAATTTAATTATTCCGAGGGACAGAGTCTGCCCAACAGTAACCCCAAGGCCTTCAGGGAGGACAGTGCATGAAAACGTCCTTCCGGAGGAATCCCGGCCATGGAGAAGACTAGTCATGAAACAGCCTGACACATACTACAAAACATCTTACTGAGATCCTGACCTCCCCATGAACTTCTGCGGAAGTTCACCTACCCTGATGGCAAGCAGTAGGACTCAGGGACCTTTCTGAGAATTCCCGGCACTTGTTCCTCCCGTACGGCGTCTATACCTTCTCCCTGAGTAATTTCAGGCGGTTTTGGACAGTATCTTTGAGCAGTTCGTGCCATCTAGTGGTCACACTGATTTCCCAATCTTGTTATTTTTACGTAAAAAAAAAAGCCACGTTTGGTGGTTATGAGAGGACTGAAATAGGGGGTTAAAAAATTAATGTTTGAAGTAAATTCTGTTCTAAAGGGACATTTTCATCTCTTCAGAGCAGCAGTGATTAGCTTCCCCGTCCAGGGTTCCAGATACCTCCAGAACAGTTATCTTAAGCTTTAAGTTTCTGATGAGAAAGGACTTGGTGACTCTGAGCTAGGGGCACATGTGTGAACAGAACTCGGCTTAGATGGATCAACGTGGCAAAGACTGGGTGTCCCATGCCTGCTGCTCTTGCAGGCCTGGATAAACCTTTTCATAGAATCATAGGATCATAGAATCATAGTATAGTTTGGGTTGGAAGGGACCTTTAAAGGTCATCTAGTCCAACCCCCCTGCAATGAGCAGGGACACCTTCAAATAGATCAGGTTGCTCAGAGCCCCGTCCAACCCGACCTTGAATGTTTCCAGGATAGCTCTGATCGCACTCATGAAGGTGTTCCTAAGCTAACTTCAAGGTAGATAACAAATACTGCTAGATATACAGGCGCACAGCACTGAGCAAAATCCACCTAAGAGGCTGAGTAAACACTGAGTCCAAGGTATTTGGTTAGTTGTCAGTCTCTTGACTACATGATTTAAAGCCAACCTGTATACTTTATGTACCACAGAGCTGTAAGCCAACCTCCTGTTTGAAGCAGCATGGCTGGTATCTTAATGCTGAGACTCCCTTCTGCTCATAAAGTCTACAATGGTGATAAATACAGAGCAGCTCATGCCAGGAGGTAGGAGTCATCTGATGAAGTGTAGATGTCCCCAGACCTGGTGTCCTCCTCTGAGGTCTCTGACTGGACTCCCTATATTGTACATGACATGAATTAGAATCAGCAGGTAATTAAATTGGGTCAGGCATCATATGGTTAGAAAAAATCTATTTATTTCCATGGACTAAAAACAGAGACAAAGATGCACAGTAGGGTTATTCCGTTCCTCATTATGCTATTTTGTTTGACAGCCAGCTGAACATGAGCCAGCAGTGTGTCCCATTGGCCAAGAAGGCCAAGAGCATCCTGGCCTGTATCAGCACTAGTGTGGCCAGCAGGAGTAGGGAAGTGATCGTGCCCCTCTACTCGGCACTGGTGAGGCCGCACCTTGAATCCTGTGTTCAGTTTTGGGCCCCTCACTACAAGAAGGACACTGAGGTGTCCAAAAAGGGCAACAAAGCTGGTGAAGGGTCTAGCGCACAAGTTTTATGAGGAGCAGTTGAAGGAACTGAGGTTGCTTAGCCTGGAGAAAAGGAGACTGAGGGGGAGACCTTATTGCTCTCTACAACTATCTGAAAGGAGGGTGTAGTGAGGTGGGTGTTGGTCTTTGCTCCCAAGTAACAAGTGATTGAAGAAGAGGAAATGGTGTCAGGCAGCACCAGGGAAGGGAAGGGAAGGGAAGGGAAGGGAAGGGAAATCTTGTCTGCTGTTTTGTCCCTGGATTTATATAGTAATTTTCCATTGAGGCTCAGATGTCTGCAAATTTCCTTTCTTCCTGGAAGAGTGGAAGGGGTACCCCAGCTCCTTTGCCAGAAACCTGCTTCCTCCCTTCTTTTCCCCTTTTGCTTTGCTGGCTTACTTTATCCCATCTCTTGAAGTACCCAAAGAGGCAGGGAGGGCAAAACAGTTTCAAAAGCACCCAGGAGCTGTACAACATGCATCTGAAAATATCAGCAGATGTTTTCATATGAATAACTTTGAAAAACTAGAACTATCCTACCACCAGCTATGACCCAGCCAGAGTGGAAAAAGGGTATTTGTGTGGGTCAGGATCCAGCCCAAAGGTCTCTGCCAACTGCTGTGAAACGGCTGGGAGGGAGGGCCCTTGGAGAAGCACAACGTTGCTGCCTCCATCACTCTCAGAACCAGTCTTCACCTCGTTTACTATAAACAAACAAGCTAGGAGTGAGTTCTTGCTTTGACCCTTCAAAGTTTTGGATACTCCAAGGTCTGTGCCTAGCAGGAAATTAGTCAAATATCATGGGAAGCTACAAAAGCACAAAGTGGGCCTATCCAAGCCTGAGCTGTTATCAAGGGCAGAGGCAAGTGAAGACACTATTTGGATAACCCTTGCTCAGGCACCACAGCTCAGACTTACGTTGCAAGGCAAATATTTACCTATGGCCTAAACAAAGTCAGCGTTTCAAAACTTTGTTCAAAATACTGCATAACCCTGAGCTGTTTCCTTGAACTTGTCTCAGAGAAGGAAAGATCTTGTGTCTAGTACCTATGCAGGCTGTTCTCGGGAGACAAGCAGGAAGAAAATGAAACATCTGCTCTGCTTCCTGGTTTTGATCCTCATTTCTGGAGTAGGAGGCTTTGATCTTGTTATCGACGAAATCCCAGATGTGAGTATTTCCAGGCAGGGCCTAGGTCTCCCTTCCTTACTGAAGTCAACATCGAAGCTGCAGCTGGCTTCAGTGGGAGCAGAGTTGGGTCACTGTTCACAGCTCTGCTTGTATCTCGTGAATTCTCTTCTACTTTTAGCTGTAAATGGGATTGTTCTGATGGCTGGACCTGTCATTCGTAGTGTTGCTTTTTTAATATTATTAAAGTTGGGATAGTATGGGCATAGCTCCAAATTTGTTTTCAAGCAGGATTCATATTTTTACCTCAATTTTGCCTCTTCTGGTGGTTTTAACCTTTAAACATTCAAGTGGCTTCTACTCTTAGATATTCAGCATATTTTATATCCTGTTTCCCTGGAATAAGCAGAAACAGATCACCTAGATATCTTTGTGGATGGGATCCGCAGTACGGACCAATATGAACCTCAGCAAAGCTTCATATGGACTCAGGTTTTTGTTAACAGGAATTCAGATGTGGAGTTAAGATCCTATTGACCATACATTCCTCAGCAGAGGGATGAGATAATTTATAGAAGAGCTTGTAATTGCTTAGGATAGTACAATGATGAAAAGTATAGTCATAGCTTTGACTCTGAAGCTGAGTCCAAATTTAAACCCCCAGACTCAGGTGAACTTAGATTTGAGTGTCTACACCCATTTCCACATTGCTGTATTG